TCATTGAAAACCCCTTGATATATTTGATTTCATTTTATTTTTTTTCTGAAATTTTTCCTGATTTTCTATTATTTCATTAAAAATCTCTGAAAATTCTTCTATTGAGAGAGGAACTTTTCGCTTATATGCATGTACCCGCATCCATGCGTGCATATATGCAAATGCAGTATGCTTTTATTGAGTTGCAGCGATAAGCAAGCGTAGTTAAGCCAAAAATTTCGTCCTAATGAGAGCCATTGAGAAAATTGCATAAATTATAGCTAACGATACTTTTAAATTTGTCCTGGAAGTTGAACGAATTATCTTGTTGCTAATGCGGGCTTAATACTGAATTTTCAACTTCGCCGAATTTATCGCTTGCAACGAAAAGATTCTAGCTTTTTCTATAATTGATGACCAATGATTTCGCTTCTTCAAGACATGGCGAAAGTTCACCTCGTCGTTCGTTACATTCATTCGGTACACGTTGTATAGGCTCACGCAGGCAGAACGAGACTTCCCTCGTTCGAAGGAAGGAGATGGCGAAGTAGAAACAGAGGAGAAGGACGGGCTCGTCAGGCCGTATCGTAAAAGGTGGGTAAGCACCGGCCGGAACATTCATGCTCTAGTGAAATTAAATACTAGCGAGAAAGTACCACGCGAAGACTGCCTCGTGGCTATTTAAATCCGAAGGCAACTGCGTGTTCGCCGATGGACTTTTTCTTCGGCAGCATAAATCTCGCGAGAGACGTCTCGCGACCACGTGCGTTTCGTCTCGTACGATGCGATAGCCTATCGCAAGATCGGTCTAAAAAGATAGACGAGACTAAAAGCATAGTTTAATTAGAGCCACGCGAAATACTCGTAGAATCTAAAGTTATGACATATTTTTAATTTCCATAATTTTTCTTATCCCAAAACATCTCGTAAAAAATAATTAGAATTAGAAATTGATATGCATTGTAAATATGAAAGTATTTTATGAAATCAAATCACATCATGCGGTACCATTTGCATTTGCCTCTTAATTATTGGATAATTTAAATTGTATTTAAATTTTTCTGATATTTTATTGATAAATAAAGTTAAAACTCGAATGTAGCTTAAGAAGTAAAACCTATCGTAAATTCCCAATCTGACTCGATACGAGGAACTGTTTACAATGAATGAAGCCGGCTGATGATAGCGAGATACGATGGCGAAAAATTGAACGATTACGTAATTGAAGGTTTGGCCGAGTCGGAGTCCCCTTTTTCTCGACAAAGCGAGTTATTTGCTGCTACGTGTTGGGTGAATGATGGCTCACCGATTGATGCAAGAACCGAAGATATATATGTAGATAACCGTATAGTGGGAAAAAAATAAAAATCGAAGATTACAGTCTTAATCGCGAGAATCAATTAAAACCTCTCGACACACTTCTCGTTTTTATATTTAAAATTGAATATACTTGGATATAATTATAAAGATGTATCATTTTTATTATTTAATTTTTCGCTAAAATAAAGCTAGTTCTTTGCTAGGTTTTTTTAAAATGTTTTTTTAATTATTTAGCGTCTTATTTCTTACGATTTATTTTCATGGCTCTACATCATTTTCGGAATGCTAGAAATCATATAGATGTACATTTCCAATTTAACTTCAAATATGATTAAAGATTTATCAAGTTATCAAATTGCTGGAGGAAAAAATTAGCCAAAGTTTCCTCCTTTATATCTGCTTGATAAAACAAACTTGTCTCGGATTCTTGCACGTTAATCTTCATTTTCAATATTAGATATCATTTATGATCAATGTTAAAAAAAGGAATATATAAAAAAACAACTAAATAGATACTTGGAATTAGATTGATTAAATGCCTATAATTGATGTCGGTAATATAAAATTAATCGAATAAATAATAAAAGCAATTTTCTTTCACAACTTGAAGTCGTTCTAATGATACGAGAGATATTTTCAGGAAATATACGAGATTTCTAATAGGAAAATTTTTATTGTATAATTATCAAAATTTCCAATGTCTAATTAACATGAGATAGATATCGAAAGAGGTCAAAAATCACGCCGACAAAAGAAACTCATGCCGCTCGTTCGAAACAAATTGCTACGCCAATGTCGTTGCTGGTGTAATATACTAGTTCGACTCGAAATTTTTCTACAAACGGATACGAACGCCATAGGAATCCCGTTGAAGGACAATAGAAACACATTTCCATCAATAGAGATCCAGCTCTCGTGTTTCAGAGTAGAAAGCTCATACGATTTCATCGCTAGATTTCTAATTTCGTTTTTCTTTTCTTGCAGGATAATTTTTAAAATAATCAATCAATGTTAATTAACGTTAACTATGTAATCAGATATTGATAACTATTTTATATCTGTATATTTATTTAATGTTAAATATGATTATTCTGATTCTAAGCTTTATCTATTATTATATGTATATATTGATAATCACAGCATTAGCAAGTAATTTTGTTTTATCAGATCTAATCAGATTTAGATTCTATCTAAATCTTATTTCTTTTTAAAGCAATGTAAAAAATGGAAAGCACATTTTTATATATTCAATACTAATTTTATTATTTTATATATTATACTAACAGAGAACAGCATGCATTATAAATAGGAAGCATCACATAAAAAGATTAAATGTGCGATCTTTTCATTAACATACTTGCACAACTAAATAAATGTTAAATTAATACATATGAGTTAAACTAAGTCAAATTGTCCGAATTATATCAAGCTGTTATTACATAAAGTTTTCTCTTAAATAAGTTTGTTAAGAGAGACGTGTCCAATGACGTAATAATAAAGAAACGTAAACATGTGCTTGCGAGTCTGACTTATTTCAGAGAACCACATGCACATCGTGATTATTATCCCGATCGCGACGACGATACGATCGTCTCTCGTACGATGCACACGCACCGTGTCGCGTTTGTCATACCCTAATAAGTCATACGCACGGCACATCCGGTCGCGGAGTCGCAACCGACCGTGGTCCCATAACAAACGCGCGTATCGTCGCGTACGCATTATGTAGTAAAAACGTAGTACACGTAAACGAGGCGAAACTTCCACATGGAGGTTCCATGCATCAAGGACATTTTCGCTCTTATGTAGCTCCCACTAAAGCCTCTTTCTTTTTTATTCTTATTCGTCTCACAACCGATCGATCATAATTATTCACCAAAATCGACCCTTGCTTTTCTATATAAATTTTTTAAATCGGTGGATAACAAAAAAATTTAAGTTTTGAAAATTTTAACAAAGTTTAATTGACACGTCAATATAGAAGGTGACTCATAAACGTTGCTTTCTTCTCCTTTGATTCATTGAATTTTAATCATATTTTCTCGATAAGAATGAATAATTTTTAAATTATTTATTAAATTAATGAATGAAAACAATAGACGATACTTATATTATATCTTAGATATCATTTTAAATTTAATTATCAAAATATTCTATACTGAACATTAATTTTGCAAGAGAAATACAGCATTAAAATTTAAAATTAATTAATAAATAAATTTTATTAAGAAAAAATAAACTTTACATTTGCTTTAAAAATAGATATTAATAAAAATTATATTTCTTAGACACAATTACAATTATCTTTTTATGCTTTTATTTTTATTTATGTAAACTGCAAATGTTTTCAAATAGATTGCTTAGGAGCTCCTGTACGTTAGTAACTTGAAGAGAAAGGCATTTTGCTTATTAAACAAATTTCTTTGGAAGCAAAACAATAAAGGCTACGATACAATTCTGATTGCAACGTTATTTAATTGGGTTCAATTACTTGAAGATTTTCCATAAACTTTCTTCGTCTTCATTAAAAAAATAAATTTTTTATAAAAAAACTGACTTCGCAAGTACAATACATGACGGCACATCATGTAACATTTTATAAAGTGATTTTTTATTAATTTTTTTCGAGTTTTGGGAAGAGATTTTGTCGTTTAGGAATCTGTATCTTTAGAGATTTCTGTCCTTGATTATTCTGGTTCTCACGAACCAGAAGCGAACTCGCCGAGAGCTGGGTCCGGAGAGAGGCTCGTTGGCGAAGAGCAACGTGAAGGAGCTTCGATGTCTCGGATGAACGAATGAAAGCGAATGGGACCGGAGTTGACCGAGCCACTTCGTTCGTTCAGTGTCGGGTCGTATTCAAACGGGGCCCCAAGGCCGGCAGAATCGAGCAAGAGTACTCAAAAATACGATATTTAACTTTCTCACGAAGAAAACGTGCAGCTTTGCGAATATTTTTGTTACGCTCAAGAACGTTACGTATGAAGCGCAAAACCGGCCGTGAATCGATCGTAAGAAGATGACTAACTTATCAAAGTTATCAAGATACGTAAATGAAAATTTAGCAAGCTTTTGCATAAAGTTGCGTGAGATTTGACGTTTAGAATTTTTTAAATATATTTAAGTATATTAAATATATATTTTTAAGTATATTTGTAATGCTTACGATATTTTTCTATAACGATATCCGTTTTCTTCCTGAATTTTTAATGAAGGCATAAAAAATCCATAGCTCGTAATTTAAAGATAATATAAAAAAATATATGTGTATATAAAACCTGGATTGCTGAATACTATTGCTATCATCGGCAACAGGTTGCTACATACTAAAGATGCTTGAAATATCACATAGACGTGAAACTTTCCCTTTTTATATAAATTTGAATTTAATATAAATAATGTAAAGGTTTTAAAATTCTTTAAATTTAAACAGCTTCTTCTAATTATCAACTACTTGTATATATTGCATTTTAAAATTATTATGTTTCTATTTTTATTACACCTTTTTCTGTTAGACATTTTTTACTATATTTATTAATATTATGTGCATTCTTTTTTCATATATTTATGGTTATTTTTTATTTTTCTTTACATTTTCTTCTATCTTTTTCTATTTTGCCTCATACATATTACTATTTGTTTTCAGGAAAAAAATATTTAGGTAAGAAAATACACCGCGGAGAACAAAATAAATTTACTGCATTTGGAATACAAAAGTTAAATGCAATATTGAAATCTACGAAATTAAAAAATATCGTGAAAAATTACCATCGCTTATCAGTAGAAATGTCATGCAGAAACAAGTTACATGCATAATCGAGACCCGTAGACGTCGAATGCAGTCGAGCAGTTTTACATAATGCGGAAAAAAAAAGAAAAAGATCTCCCATCCACCTCGCTGCACTGTTGTTCAGCGACTAAACCGGCGCTTCGACCGTTCATGCCTCGGCTGTGGGGGGAGAGAGAGCGAGAGGAGAGCAGAGATGGAGGGGGCGACAGTTACGTTTCACGTGACACGCTGGCGCCGCGCTGGTGGGGGAAACCGGCAGCGGTCACGTGATCAGTTGGCGCCGCGCTGGTGGGAGGAGGACCCGGCTGCGAGACAGTCGTACAACGATACTCGCCGGCATTCAGACCTGATAAGTCGCCAGTGTCGGATCGTGAGATAGTGGAGAGGGACCGCGCTCCTCGCACCTCGTAGGACATTTAAATCGACCGCAGGTAGACGGACCGACGCACTGGGAAAGAAAGAAAGACAAGAAGGAGGACCGCTTTCGCTCGTCGCGGTCTCGTGCACGCATCATCGCCGTCTTTCTCCTGCGCGCCGATCGAAGCCCTCCTCTCCCTCTCTCTCTCTCTCTCCTCATTCCCTCGAGAAAATAAACGAACTAGTGGACTCTCGACAATCGCGCGACGATTAAGTGGACACCGGTCGTAAAAAAACCTTCCGCGCAACACGCTACGCTTATTTATTAGGATCCTCGAAGCAACGCATTATTTATTATCTGTTTTTGTGCTTCGATTACGCGGAAATATAAATACGTGCCGAGGAAAACGAGAACGAGGAGGTTAGGTTAATCGCACGATTCGATTAAGAAAAGAGAGAGGAAGAAGGTACGTTCTTGGAAAGGAGCGAAGAAAATGTGTAAGTAACAAGGTAAAGAGAGTGAGAAACTGATCGCGAAACGATCGTTCGAGCCTGTCGCACCGAGTCTTCGCCGTCGTCGTGTACGCATACACACGTGATCGTTGCACACGCACATCCACGCGCGTATACATACGTCGTCGTCGAATCGTCGTCGTTTCGCGAGGTGAGTGATCAGAGCCGTCTCTGCCTCGTCCGCTGTGAAAAAGTGTTGAGTGTCCCCCGCGCCCTCCCTCTCTCTATCATTCTCTCCTCGCCCTGGAATTTATCGAGCTCGAGGAGGTTCTCCGAGAGATCGTGTGAACACGTGGACAGAACGCGGTTCCGAGGAACGTGGCAGGAAAATCGATCGACGCGTCTCTCCTCCCGAGCATCGCTATGGATCTTCTGTGCTGCGAGACCACCGAGACGGAGTGCCGGGCTTACGCGGATCCGGCCCTCCTCGGCGACGACCGGGTTCTCCAGAATCTCCTGCAGACCGAGGAGCGCTACGCGCCCAGCAGCTCCTACTTCGAGTGCGTCCAGAGGGACATCTCGCCGCTCATGCGCAAGATCGTCGCCGAATGGATGTTGGAGGTAAGCGATTGCTTCCGGTCCACGTGGAAATGTGTGTCGCGATCGGCCGTCGAATCGCGCGATTGAATCCAATTATTTTCAGCGTAAATCTTTCGTGGAACTAGGTACGAAAAGTAAGTCGGCAGGATATAAAGACTGATTAAAATGTCCAGTTTATTTCTGGCTGATTAAAGATCACGTTTTTTTGACCTGTCGATTTATATTTTAACAAGAATCGAATATTCCGAAGGTCTTAAACGCGATAAAAGGAAATGTTTAAAGTTTATTTTTTAACTCTTATTGCATATAATCATTTTCTACAGACGTCAAGGAATGTATATAAATCTTTTTTATATACATATAGATTTTTCTAAGCACTTTGACGCATCTAAAACTGCGATAAGACATTGTGATATCTATATGTAATCAGGAATAGAGTCGAAAAAAATGTGAGATAAGGATAAATTCTTCATCTTTCTTTTTTTAGATCATAGTATTTTTTTATATGGCTAGTAAATGATGACAGTTCCTAATTATGATGCGATTATACAAGTGCTACCTTAGGAAAAGATAACATGTCGAACAGAACAGAATCCAGTGAAACACTTTAACCAACTGCTCTTCAACTGTCTCTTTAAAGATAGAATCTGCAAAACGACAGACAATTGAATCACGAATCATTAGATTAATTCGACGCTAAATAAATCGATTGCGAGGCAAAATTTGTATTTTGATAAATGCCGATTACAAGGAAAAAAGTAACGGTAAAAATCTAAAAATAAAATTTACACCGATGACCTATGGTCTGACAGACTGACGTCAGTTTTTTTTCCTACATAGACAACAAAGTAATTATTTATTTCTTTTTTATTATACAATGAGATTTACAAAAAAAATTTTTTAAAGTAAAAATAAGAATTATTTAATAATACACATGTCTGTTTAAAACGAAAAATATATACATCATGGTATTTTAAATTGTTTCCACTTAAAGTTAAAGGTCTCGATCGAATGTTGTGGTTTCGAGAATCTTATTCTTAGACATGACCGCGCGCGACAATGTTAATTTATTATTCGTCGATTTAAAAACGTAACAAAGATAACACGGCTGATCGGGTGCTTTTAAAGAACAAATTGAATTGATTTACATTCAAATATATGCCCCGGGGACGGATGAAGGTCAAGTTTGCGAGACGAAAATGAATTTCGGTTCTCTCTCTCCGACTCGATGTCTGCCTTTTTTTATAATCCACAAATTAAATGTTTATCTTTTATATTGCTCGCAATGGTAAGTGAATAAGTAAGCTGAACATTTTCTAAATTAATATCATATGTAGAGATGAATTTCATGTTGACAGAACTTTGTGATGATTATATTAAAAATTAATTATATAGATGTGCACAGACGTTTGTGACAAAAAACCTCATAGATTCATTTGCGTATTTAAATACCTTTTATTTGTCGATCTCTTCCCGCGGACAATGATTTTTTAAAATTCAATTTCCAAATTAATTACTTTTAAAAGATTATGAAATAAGACGGTTTCTCTTTTAGAATTTTTATCTCGAGATAAGGTAATTATCTTGGACTTAATAATAAGCGAAAAGGAACAAATATTAATAGCTATACGTCGACCCTTACCGATGATTGTCGAATGTTTCGACAGCGATCGAGAAACCTGTCGTCGCGTTTCTTTTGTCACGAGAGCATTGTGATTCCAAGTTCATATTCTTGCGAAACTCTTTGTCGGTGTATAACGAAGCATAATAGATAATTATTTACATTGTTACGCAATATCCTCTCTCGATCAATCTGTTCAATGTGAAATATTTTTGAAAAGGGTATCAAAAAATTAAATTCATTTTAAAATTTAAATATTCTCGATATCGATGCAAGAAAGAAGGATTTTTCAGATGTCAAATGTTTAGATATTAAGAATTTAAAATAGAAATGTATACTGTAAATCGAGATTTCTCATCGATTGTTATTTGTTTTTAATCGTCAAATGACATTGACGTTATTATTTTTGTTCGAAGATGTAACATTCGTGATCTTGATACATGTATATATATATATATATACGATTCGCCTATATCAACATCAATATCAAATTTAGATATCCATATTTTGATATATTATTTTTTATCAAGTTTTTCACGTGCATTTATTATTCACAAAATTAGTTAAGTCTCTGTAATTTGGAGAAATCAATTTCTTCGACATTTATTGCTCAATCACATAACATTTTTGACATTTCGTTGTTATTGAGCAAGAAATTCGGACCGTCGTCGATAAACCCTCCTCTTCCCCCGTTCCCTCTTTTAACTTACGTCACCGTTTCCAAAGCTGCCGATAAGGGAACTGTATTCGTCGCGATTGACATCATTCGCACATTCGTCGATTAAAGAGCAGAATCGGCAGCCGATTGATCGAATATCGCTACATGCTATCGCATGATTATCGAATTCCTGATCTAACGATGGCGATTTAAAGACAAACGTGCATAACAGTTATTAAACGACAGAAGTATTTAGTACTCAGAGCATAAGATATATTCTATTTGTTTTATTCTCGATTTCTCCTTTAACACGATAACGATATGCCGGTTCACGAGTTATCGCGAATCATTTGTGTCTAGTTTAATTACATTCGGCAGACTTAAATATTCTTAGAAGCATAAGATTAGAGACAGTCCCCCCCGCGTGATAACGATTTCACCAATTGAACAGTAAATTAAGTGTCCGAAATTCGCATTTTAACTTAAAACATTCTCGGTAAACGAAATTAATAACCCATGAATAAATAAAATTAATAGCAATAAGTAGAAAATGAAACTATAATAACAATAAATAAAAAGACAATGCAACAACTAAGAAACGAATAAATGGAAATCAATGACAGCTGAATTTTTTGCCGAACAGGCAGAGACGATCGGTCGCGTCGACGAATTAATTCTGTCGTCTCCCCGCTTAGACTTCCTCCTTCGTCGGATATGGTAATGAATTCCTCCGCTTCCGGACCGGATTCTCGTGTCGTGTGTGTTCCTTCGGCGTCGCTTTACCTCGCTCTTGTTTAAATCAAAGCCGAAACGATACGGGTATATCGCTCGGCTCATGGTCCGATAGCGTACGTCGCTCGATACGCACTCGCTCTTTCTGTGCCCCGGCATAGAAGTCCAAATTGTTTCTCTTTGCAATGTCGAGAAGCCTGATGACAACGACAATGACGAGCGTTCGATAAATTAGCTGTTTCGGCGCCGCCAAAGCCCGCATACCTTGTCATTGCGGCTCGAACAAAAAGCCGGTTCAGTCATGTGACATCTGTCAAAGGGTCATCACCTGTTATTCGTAATAATTTATATCTGAAATTATATTTTCTATTAACGCAGATATCTTTCCATTATTGTGATAGTAGCAAAATAAAGTGGTCAATATTTTAATCGATATTGATATCGGAAGACTCTTAATTATTATTATTGATGTCTTATTAAGATTGACGTTTTATTAACATTGTCTTGCAGAAATAATACGGAAATAATAATCGGAACTTGAACATGTTGCAAGCTTAAATCGCGCAAAGCGGTGGAATTCGATAGCCTCTTTGTTACATCACAGCTGCTTCTTTGCAGTTTTGTTGTTTATCGATATCGCTTTTTTTCCCCGGGCATTTAATTGCTCTTGCGCCCCAGACATTTAATCGCAACAACCGAATTCACGTGATGACCTCGACGGCGTGTTCCGTACGAAAGCGAGTCGCCTGGGTCGCAGCCGCGATGCGTGCGTGTGTGCATGTGCGTGCATGTGCGTGCATGTGTGTGTATGGCTGTGTATAGGTGTATATGTGGGTTTCACGCACACACCAAGCCACATCGCGCTTCGAATTCTTTGACATTACGCTGGCTCGTCGATCCGACCGGCGCAAATGACAGATCATCGTATGCGTTGATGGAATGTATTCGACTTTTAAAAGCTATTGCAGTTAGTGTTAATCGTAATTATATACAGGATGTTCGCGCTAAGCGCTCACTAATATTCCTCTTTTAGCAACTCTTTCGAAACTGGAAATTTGAAACAATTATTTTTTCATGATTTCAACATCGGACATCTTCCTAATTAAAGCTAAATTTGAATTCTCTTAAAGCAGAATAGGAAGACTGAGAAAGTTATTTCGTAATCCAAAATTTTGTAATCTAAATGTTTCCATTCAAAATTTTAATTAGAAAAAAGAGCTATAATTTTGTTCGTCAAATATAATAAGTTTGATAAAATTGTATAAAATAATTTGCAAAAATCTATTTTTTTATTATAAATTGATTATAAAATTTTATTATAAAATTTTATTATTATAAAAGAATGTGTGTGCATGTATCGAATGAAAACTTGTTGAGTTTTTAAATTGATTTTAAATTCGAAGGTTTAATTTTTCGTTAATTCGACATGCAATTAATTGTTCGATTCGCCAAGTACATTAACGATCTTTTATGAAAGGAGGAGAAGCACTTTGCGCGATAACATACTTCTCGCTTGTCACCCTGTGTATAATTCGTGTAAATGTTGTTGATAGCAAAGGTATTGAATTGTTCGTGAAATCGCATCGCGAACAATCGGACTTGTACCGGTTTCATATTTCTTTGTCCGTTAAAAGTCCTAAATTTTTTGTTCTTCCTAAGAAATTTTTCAAATGGACCTTGCTCGATTATTATCAATGCATACGAGACTGGTCGCTATCGGCTTTATCGGCGGCAGTTCTGCTTAATTGGCGCCGAACTTATAAGGAAGATCAGCGAGCTCGATAAACGCAGATAAGAGTAACAAAGTTCTGAGGCAAATCATCCTGAAAAGATTCGAGACATCCGTTATCATTTACCAATTAAAAGCGAATCGCGAATGCAAATGTAAAGCCACGTTTCGATGCAACAACTTTGCTAATTGCTTCACTCTGTCAGCATTTGGTGAATATTTTTCGCGAAGTTTAAGCATCGTTTGCATAACGAAAATTGCATCGAATATCTTCTTCAAATACGATTCAACTTTGTTTAAAATAAATTTATATCATTATGTAATAAAATTTTACATTTTAATAATAAAGAAATGAGAAATATTATTTTAAATATTAAAAATATTAGTTCGCAAATATCGTTTCCTAGATTATTTACTAGGCTGAAAATATACAAATGTCCTATACAGATATGTCATGATAGATGATGATTGCTACAAGTGTATCTTTTAATTCGTGTCACTTTTCATTACACATCTCTTTACATATCCCTTTTTTAATTAATTTAATTTCCATGTTTTTCTGTGTCTTCTGAAATTCTATGATATGTCATGATATATCTGCATATTGCAGATGTATGAAAAATAAAAAAGAATAAATTATTAAAAACTTTTTTTATAGAAAAAATTATATTATTCTCATTTCTATTATTTTTTTCTGAATGCATTATATTATTTTCTTGTAACTTGAGTCTTGATTTCATATAAACTAGATTTGTCCTTTAGAATTTGCATTTCATATATATATTTTCGCTGTTCACTTTATTATCATTTGTATGCTAAAGTACTGACATCAGTAAGATATGATGATTTTATATTATTAAAAAATATTGTGTGCATAACACTGCAATTTGACGAAAAATTATGGATTCTTCTCTGGTCCTAACTTTATCTCGTTCAATTTTCATCGCAATGTTTGAACAGATGCACGATAATCTTTCGAAGCAATTTCATTAAAAAGTACGTCCCTGTCTTTATCGATTTTGAATAATTAATATTTGCCATTTGCAAAAGGGTTAAATATTAAAGAAAAAGGGGCTGAATATTTTTTTCTTAACGTTGTTCTTACAATTAGTAGCGATAATTTCGTCAAAAAAAAAAAAAAAAAACATTTCCACATAAAAATAACGCGAATATGACAATATAAAAAATTAGTATTAAAATGGGTTAATAAGAGCTAATGCAACATTAAGAATGCAAAATATTGTTTGTATGTATCGGTTTTATTTCGGGCCTTTTTTAGTAACTATACAGATAATATGATAAGCTAAGTGAAAACCGGATGAGACCGGATACTCTCATTGGAAATATCTTTTTAACACATTTTAATACTAATTTTTCATATTTTCACAGCCACATGTTTTGTCCTCTCTGGACAGAACTAATTTTATTATTTATAGTTTTCGATAATCAAGTTAGTGTAATTATTTTGTTAGGTCGGTCGGGACTATTGTTAATTGGTGGTGGTGGCGACGGAGTAATTACGAGAAGGTGCATATGCGTACGTACGTGCGTGCATGCATGCGTGCAGCCGCAAGGACTGACCGGTAATCATTGGTCACGCTCAATAAATTCCTCTCTCGCGCCTCGACGACGCGCACGATCGCACCGAGACGTTCGAGCAAAGTTAATTCGCGATTCCACCGCAATTCGACAGTCCCCGAAACTTCAAAGAGCCGCTCCACCGCGCGTCTTATAAACATGCAATAATAAACAAGCGGCAATAAACGCGATAACGAAAAGCGCAATTCATTCGTTGTTGCATGCGTTATGTTACTATCAGTAAGATATTAGGTAATATCTTTGTTGCTAAATTATTCTTATGATCGGCGAGTGGAAAGAGAGCCTCGGAAAGGCTGTGAAAATGTCACAAAAATTTGATTATAGAGAAATACAAGTAATTATTTTTTAGAAATAATCGATTTCTTTTTTCTATAAAAGACATAATAAAGTCAAGTTCTGTTTTAAATATTTTGCCATTAGTTTTTTTTAAAGAGCTTTTTAAATTTTACGTCGAATTCTTATGTAACTGAAGAATTCTAAAGTCGAAAAATTTTTCGACCTACAATCGATATGCGGTTATATTGTGGCCGCGCTTGTTAAAATACGATCAAAGGAAATCCGGTGAGATATCTGTATCCTACGCCTATGTTAGGACGAATGGTCGTTGTGCGAAATTTCATTTTTTTTTTCTTTAACACAATGCATCTCATAAATCTTTTAAATAGTAGCAAAATTTATAAAAAAATGCATAAAAAATTGACAGGATAGAGTTATTTCAACTGACAGTCAGCAGGAGGGAGTGTCTATTTGAGAAAACATAGAGAACCTGGAATTCTAAGGGATTTTTTTTAATACCTAAAAAAACCAGGAAATTCTATTGGAGTTTTATTCGAATCCAAAAAATTTTTTAAAAAACGATTCTCTCTTTGATAATTTTAAACGAAAAAAATCTAGAAGATGAGGGGATTTTTTTAAAGACATCCTGTTTACAAAAAATACTAAGTAAAATAATTTAGTTATTCACTTATAATCTTTTGCCTCGCATATATTTGATATTTTTACGAGATACATATTACGATTTGCGGCATTACTCTCGGCGTGATGCGCTGGTGAGCTAAATTTGCATTGCGAATCACTCATATTCAGACGTTATCGCAGCGACGACTCCCCCGATCATTCGTCCTTGAAGCGATCTCATCGTTGCGTTATCACGCAAGTGTATGTTATATACGTCTCTTCATCCTGTTGCAGGTATGCGAGGAACAAAAGTGCCAGGACGAGGTCTTTCCGCTGTCGATGAACTACGTCGACAGGTTCCTGTCGATCTGTCCGATCAGAAAATCGCAGTTGCAGCTACTCGGCACCGCCTGTCTCCTGCTGGCATCGAAGCTACGCGAGACGTCACCGCTCACAGCTGACGTTCTGGTTTTCTATACCGATAATTCTATCACTCTGGACGATCTATGGGTAAGTAAGCTTTTAAAGAGAGCGATCGAATGTTAGATACATGACATTTTATCGATCATCGTGGCATGGTTCATTTCGCAAACGATCGATATTTTATGCAGCAATTTAACGGTTACAAAATTGCGTATCAACTTTTTGACCCATATAGACACAAATCGCACTTTATCTTATCTCGTTGAAAGGTTTCTGCAACAAGCGAATTATCTATACGTAAGAGGACCACCGAACAAAATAATGAGTTAACAATTTTGAAATATCAATCGCACAGACTATCCCAAAAAACGAAAAAAATGTTCTTTCTTTACATATTATTTATACATGTGTGAGGAAAAACAAATTAACTTTACGCGTAATTTTTTTATGTATTTCGCTGCGACTAGGAAAGTTTTTCAATCATACGTTCTCGTCTTGCCATTTCGAATTCTAATTTATCGTTCTACTTAACATGGGGATCGTGTGTGTACCGATTATGGGCAAAATCGGACGACTTTTTAGCACGTGCGAACGAATAAAGTACACACACGATACCGTTAACAATACGCACTCGTTACATAATTTTTCAAGTAGGTGTCTTAGCTAGCGAGAGATCGAAGAAGCGGTTCTCGCAATTTTTATGGAAACGATTGATATCAGACGCAATTTTATTCTCCTCTCGTGCGTGCAGAATGTTAAAGTGACAACCGGCATAAATAGAATGCGCGAGAAAATCGCGCTTGTGCGATTGCTTATCTTCAGATCCATATATGTATCTGGGGTGACGGATAGCAAATACAAACTTTTCTCTCTCTTTCTCTTTCTCTCAAATTTAAAGGTATTAGACGTACAAATACAAAGATATTTTGCAATTTCTTCTGCTAGAGTAGAAAAATATTTAAAACTATAGCTTTTTACAAACTAATTGTCAAAAATTTTATTAGTTGAAATTAAAAAGAAATCTCTTCTCAGTATCATTATTTTTACTTTAAATATTTGCATGCGCTATTAATTTAAATTAGGAGAAATGCAATTTTTTCTTTAATTTGTATATAAAAAATTTTTTAATTCTTAGAGAAATTGATCACTGTTAAAATATCAAAATTTCAAAAGTAAATATCTTGTAACAATATGTTGTAATTGTTTTACGATTCGTCCAAACGATATATCGGCTTTCTCATTGTCACCTTGATCGATCAATCGCTGCTACCTTATATTAATACCATGAAACTTTTATGAGAGAAATCTAAGACATGTGTACTGAGGTGATATTTGAATTTGTTGTCCAGATTCCGATGCGGGAATTCACTTCTATTCCTATTTTTTATGCATGCTGACTTAAAGCACCACAATGTTTGGATTTCTTTAATTCCATTTTGCGGCATTTTAAGCAGAGAAAGAGAGAGATAGAGCCTAGTGTTTGTTTTCACGATCAGTATATATTCGGTATATATTTGAACGCTTTCTATCAAAAAAAGAAATTAATTGCTTGATCATATATTTTATGACATTCTTAAATTTTTCACGAATATGATCATTTCTTAGTGAGATTCTCATAAGATTTGCAAACGAATTATAAATCGATAATTACAAATTGAATAAATTTTTCCGAAGCAAAAATATACATAAGATAGATTGAACACATAACTATTTGCGAAAAAAATTGACAAATTAATCTAAAACTCCAAGTTTTATTTCTGTGAGAATAACATTAAATTTTTTAGATCTCTTTGTAAAAGATATCGAAAAAGAATCTAGTACAGAAGGATCGTTTTTTGCGATTCAGAAGGTGAAACAAAGAGGTAACTGTGTTTCGTAGACTATAAAAAAAATTATTCTTCGTTTTTTTCTCGACATCTCTAACGAAGATGTTGAAGAAAATTCGAGAGGTTATTTTATCCTTCAAAAAACTGGACGTGGTCTCGTAAACCGGTCTTGGAGCATAGGGATTGAAGACGCAAATTTTATGAAACGCGCATCTCTCTCGCGATCGCAAAAAATCTTTTTGCTCCTACAATAATCTCAAGCGGGCTACATCATCGTAACGAAAGAGTTAACTGCGTATCAATTGCCCCGAAGATGCAACGAATCGTTTTGTCAGATCGTAACGTTTGTTAGACGAGCTATATGGCTTGTCCAGGAATACAATTTTCGATGCGAGATAGTCCAATCGACGGTGACGTGGCTTCATGTGGACTATTTTGGGCTATGCCAGGCGGTCTTCGGCTATAATGGGATAGCGATCATCTCCCTGTTTCTCTTTCTCTGCTCCTTCCTCTCTCTCTCTCTCTCTCTCTCTCTCTCTCTTTCTTTTTTTTTCGTTCGTTCTCTGACGTCGCGCGATTTTTTTGCGGCCTCGAAAGTTAAATACCTTCCGTCTCGTACATTTTCACGGAGGTATTCGTGCGTGATCGGCTCCTGTCGTCGAATCGTTATCGCCAACCGCCAGACAGACGGAGCAATTAATCGTGCATTGATACTCTTTCATTGGAATAACCGCTTACAATCTGTGGTTTTCTTGGCGATCGTTAATTGCATCGATGATGATTAAGCTCGCGACAATTTCCCGTACCGATGTAAAGTCAAAAAGGTTAAAAAAACAATTTTGCTGAGAGAAATGTGTGAATGGATTTCTGAATTTAAATGGATTTATCCGGATTTATTCAGACCAGAATGTTCACAACAGAAAGGCGTTGATCCAAGTTTTAAAAATATGCGTAGAATTTATTACGTAAGGAGTTGATACAATGAATAAAGGTGATAGAATAAATAAAGAAATGCACGTGCCTATAATATTTATAGGTGAGATATTGCAATAGATATTTACAGATATATTTATAGACATTTAAGATTCGTGACAAAAAAAAAACGAATATTGCAATTTAATAAGTAATACTTTAGAAAAGGAATAAATTAAATTGAATTATTAATATTTAATATATACTAATTAAATTAATATTAATTTTTAGAAAATTTGCGATCCAGTTAAATTTTAAAATTTCGGTAATCTTAAATGTCACGATATTTATTCGAGGAATCTAGAGTAAGAATAAATTGAATAAATTTTTTTGTTTAAAATAAATTTTGGAGATATTTAGATTCTTTGCTTTAAACAATTCACACTCTCTTTAAATTGACTCGCCCATAACTTTTGAAAATTCTGAATGACTTAATTATCACACAACACAGGATTATTCTATTGAATGTTGCACGGATTCACTTCGATTGAGCACTTTCCGATGAAATGTGAGAATTACATCAGCGTTTGTTTTACGAGAGTACAAGGATATCTTGTTTAAGCGCTCCTATTGGTAGAATGCCAGATAACTCGTCATCACATTAACATCAGTAGCGTATCTACCGACACGATCCCGATCGTTATTTCTATGAATCATCGTCATTTTTTTGTGAACCATCGTGGTTCTAGTCGCAAAAAATTGCGCGCGATATTGGCGTATCATGCAACGTTTTGCCTCTAAAGACTCCTTGAGAGAAGAAATATTGTAGTATCATTGACCTTGTAAACACACAATTGCATGCTTTTGAGATAAAAAATTCTTTACTACAATGAAAGCAATAAGAAGTTGCTCACATTTTTGCTGATGAACAGTTTTAAATACATAATATCAGGATACACAAGTTTTTTCTCTCATGACCTCTTACGCTTAAATTTTTTTTATTAGATGCATATAACTAACAAAGAAAGTTCGCAATTTTTATGTAGCAATGATTTTGATTTAGCGAGGAATAATCTCGATTACGTTTTAGCTCCCGATCGATATATCGCAACTTGTTCTGTTGCATTCTCGCCGCAACAAACCGACCTTTTTGCAAAAATTAATATACCGCGATTTTTGCGGGTTACCGAGCGATGTGAAATTCAAGATGATAATTATGACGAGTATCGGATATCAAACTACGTAGAAAATCCAGCCATCGTCGCGCAAATGTCGTTCCGCGATCGCGTGTAGCATCAATAAAATGACATAATTTCGATTGAAAAATTTATTTATTTATTTCTCTCGAATTTAAAATTAATTTTCTCAAATTGTTCGAAAGAAGTGCCTTCCAAGCCAACTGTCATACCGGATCCTCCCATTTTCGTGAAAGGATCCTTGAATGGAAGGCATACGGCGACACTTCTGAGTCATTCTGTACAATTTACGGAACGTCATAAGGAAACAATGAATTTTCTCGCCTGCTGCTCGAAAAAATTCCATTCACTAGTTTGCGCCCTTGTCGGAAGGGCCGATACATGTCTCGTTTGCAACGTCGCCGGCCGTTTTCTCCGTAAATTAGATAGTTCCTGCAAGTTGTACAAACAGAGACCGGATCGACACGTTGTTGTCCATGTGAAGAGAATAGCTTCGTGAATTTAAATGCTCGTCGTCCGACCAACACATGACGATAGTTGTGTGTATCTATTCTGTATGTGTGCGTGTGTGTGTGTGCACAGCGACGATTTCGTCTCTCTTGAGAAACACCAGAGAGAGAGAGAGAGAGAGCGTAACGAGTCTTCGTGCTCCCGGGCAAACACACGATAGTCTGAGCAAGCCTAAATAGATAACAGCTGATACGGGAAACGGTTATTTAATTTTCAGTGACTTTCTCTCTCGCTCTCTCTTTCTCTTGCTCTCTCTTTCTCTCGCTCTCTCTTTTTCTCGCTCTCTTTTGAGCCACGTAGCTCACCATCATACGAGCTCCTCGATTCTCCTTTAAACTGCCGTCAAGGTTACACGAAATTCTTGTCTCGCCTACCGCTAGCTTTTTAACTCTCTTCAATCTTTTCAAGTTGCATCTTCGTTATGTTAAAGTATATTTATGCGTTTCGATAAATAAAAGAATGAAAGGATATATTTTAACAAGAATATCTCACGATTCTCGCAAATATTTATTTTATTACGAAAGATAAGAATAACTATAAATGATTACGAAACGAATAATACTTTGTTGACTAATTATCTATATTGCAAATTTCAATATTTTTTATATTTTTTCTATGTTTTATTTATCGTAATAAAATATAT